AGAAAGTCTGGATAAGTGCATTGCCATCTATCTCCTTTGGGGACAGCTTCGCCTATTTGATTGTGCTTTAATATCTTTTTCAATAAATACCATTTTATAACTTCGTACCGATGTTTGTCTACTATTAAGTGCTTACCTCTCTTCCCTGTCCTTCTCTAAATCCAGGTGACTACGAAGCCTTGGCAACGCAAGGATTCTTGACCTTGCTCATTTAAGGCAGCAGCCCATGCAGCAGAACTGCACTTAACCGACTTTAAAAAGTCTAGAGTGTGTTGATGTTGGATCAGATGTTGCCATTAGGTGACTGCTGATATTTCAGAATTTTAGGCTCACATGCACATACAGACACGAAGCACAAAGTCCTCAAGGAAACCTCGGCTTGATCCTCGGATAAGCCGATTATTTTTTTTTATTTCACCTTGCAATCTGATCGAAATGGAACTTCATCTCGTATCCTAGTTTTGTGCTTATTTTGGTTTCACCTTTAACCACTTGCTCTTGCATCCGCTCGCAAGTGGACTTCTTCCGGTCCATCTGGTGTGAAGGCAAGTGCTTCATAGAGGACTATGGACTGGAGAATTCGCCCCACATTTTCGGTCTCGCCTCCTCATCTGCCAACATGCATGCTCTTTTCACAGACAGCCAGCGCAGTCAAACACCTGTTTGGTAGAGCTAGATAGAAGAGTCTTTTGTGATTGCGAAAATGGATGAACCATATAGTTTGGATGAGTTTAGAAGAGGTTTCATGTTTTAACACGAAATCTGCCACACCCTGAATCGAAAATCTATTTCTCAACCAAATGTGCTCATGAGGAGACCTATTTTCACCAATCGGCACAGACTCAACAAGCTTGGTGCAGTGAGAGATTCATCGTATTCCACACACACACACACACACACACCGCCCCCTGTATGTAATGAGGCTCAAATGTGATACAGCATATACTCACTTTTATGTCGGCGATTTATTATGCAGCCATTTGGGAAATCACACCTTCGAGAGGACAGAATAGGGTGAGACCGTGTGATTGGTGGGCCATTTTGTTTATCTAAACAGGGAATCGAGCAATCGCGGGCTCGAATATGGACACGTTATGTACACTTGCTCGGGACTCGACTACCGCCAGATTAACATTGTTGCGGAGATTTTCATTTCACCGGCACGTTGATGATGAAGAAAGCAACCGCAGACCTTCTGCATCATTCTCTTTCATACGAAATGAAAGTTGCCACACAGCTTCATTCAAAATTACTCGAAGAATATGCAAACTTGTAGGCCAATTAAAATGACAATAGTTAGTTTGGGTTTGCAAAAGTCGAGTAAATAAATACACAATATTCCGCTGGAATATCGTAGATTCCTCAGGTTTGACCTAGTTTCGCAAGCAGGTTCTGTTGCCAGGGTCATCTGGACTAATCTGTTCGAGGAATCTCTTGTTTCATAATTGTTGGGCGTATTTCCATTTCGAGTGGAAGTGTTAGGTGAAGAGATTCGATGGTCGGTTCCACCAGAAGACGACGGCCGATTCCTCTCGACCAGCTGTCGATTGGCTTTACTGGAACATTCTTGCCGATTCTGTTTCCGAGGCAACCTCCTTCGATTCCGGTTTGCACCTTTTCACCGGAATCGAAGGAGGTTGCCTCGGAAACAGAATTGGCAAGAATGTTCCAGTAAAGCCAATCGACAACTGGTCGAGAGGAATCGGCCGTCGTCTTCTGGTGGCACCGACCATCGAATCTCTTCACCCAACACTTCCACTCGAAATGGAAGTAAGCTCAACAATTTGTACTATTCTGCCTCGTCGGCCATACGAATCATGGTACATACCGACATCGAGAGCAAGTACAATTGCTCTCGTGACTATGTCTCCTTCTAAAGCCTCCTTTTGTGCCCGCACATTCACATTTCCTATATCCTCTTACCCTATTCCATCTTTATCATTTGCTTATCCTCGTCTCCTCGAAAGATGGGTCCTTTTGAGCCGAGTTAGTCGGACGTAATCACACTCCCTGCCAGAGTCTTCTTCCTCTCTCCTCCCACCTCTCCGTGAGCAGAAATTGCATATCTACAAACTTCATCCAATTGTTGGGGGGATCTTCATTTCGTATGAAAGTGCATGAAGAAGAGATTCGTTGGTCCATCTCACCAGATGACGACGGATGAATCGAGCAACGGATCTCTTCTTCATCCACTTTCATACGAAATTAAGGTCTACCCAACAATGTGGTTTCAGCAGATTCACATCCTTCCTATCACATTGTGTCACCGCTTTATTTCCCATGAGCGGGCTTCAATGTTCAGATCGCGACATTCGACATGGCTCTACCGTTCTGTACCAAGCTAAACCGATTCCACTTTATCTAACTTCGGCTTGTCCGCCGATTTGGTACATCTCAAACTGATGCCGTCCCTTCGCGGACGTCCTCTGTTTACACTGGCCTCTATCCATACATACTTTTTACTACCTCATCTCCATTTTCATGTGCACAGAACGCCTTAATTTTGCAGCTTGTCCCTCGGTTTCACTACCCTCATTGAAGTTATCTTCTATTTACTACCGGCATATTTTATTCCTCACCGGTGCTGTTCTCTGCATACTATGTGCAGTTGAGTTGAATACACAGAATCCGGGGTCATTTTCGATATTTATGCGTCAACTGATTTATAATATTTCATACTATATACATTTAAAAATGCACATACTACTATTTTAGCACGAGTAGTAGTAAAATGCGTATACTTGTACACTATTCGAGCTGTAATGTAATTAGGGAGGGTCAAAAAGACTCGTCATTGCGAAATTAGTTAACTCGAAAGCGAGTCTAAGGAGCATTAGAATTGGCGGCCTGTGGCAAATTGAAATGGCTGGCAAAGGCCTTGCAGCCACATGTCTGCGAATATGCTGCCCTCGAGAGGCTGGAAGAAGCGCTTCCGAACGCAGCGAAACACCAAATATTTCCGGCCCAAAAACTGAAAAGGTACCAACTGATTTCGAGAATCTTCGATTCTCGAGGACATTATCGTTATGCGCTTGAACCACTTCTCCTTGGCTCCATCACACTTTTCCCAAATCTGAAGACTTTTACGATTTGAGAACAGCTCAGTTCGTTTGCCTATATCCCTGAACTGTGCTTGCAGTCAATTAACTGTATCAGAGGGTGTATTTGAACGGTTGATTGTGTAGCCCTCGAGGTCGGTGTTGAATTTTTCAGACAAATATCACAACTTTGCATAGCGCCAAACGTTGACTCCAACTTGTGGCGAAGTGCAGAAAGCCCAGACAAGTACAGCTTGACGAGATGGTGCACAAATCCATTCTAGACGCAGACGTATCTATTCGACGTGTTAGCAAGTGGTTGACTCAATCAATTGGTCAAAATAAGTCGTCAACACGACATTTTCACACCCAGCACACATGAAAGCTCTTCGCCCACGGCTTCGCCGTCAGTGTGTCTGCGTGCCCGTTGGCTGGGAGACCATGAACGAGGCATTTTGTGTCTTTTCTCAGAGGCACAATTGCGCATAAAAAGCTCCAAGTGGACGACAAATGGGATTTGTTTCGGTAAATTTCTCACACTTTCTCTTGACACCGCAGATGACTGAACAGTAGGATCCCATGAAAATCAAAAGTCCGATTCTATCAGAAATCGGCGAGATCATGCCTCCCCGAGGCACGATTACCACCCCTTTTGATCTTGTCGCTAAGGCACAAGGCCACACTTGCAGAGGGCTTACACACTACTTTTGAAATGCGAGTAGTGAACATTTTCCAATGATGTAATGAGTAGATCTCAGAGTGCCAATAAATTTCACTCACATTTTAGTATATATTTATGTATATTATATTTTATTATATTTTATTTATAGATGGGTTTTCGTGATTACCAGTAGACATTATATAGGAAATGTGTTCACTCTATTTCGTTGAGGTGATGAAGAACTGGCAGTTGAATTTCCCCCAAAATCATATGAATATACCTTAAGCTTCCATTCCATTTCACACAGCCCTGCACCCCAAGAGGCTGTAGACCGTATTCAAACTATTTAATTTAGGTGGGGCTAAAGTATTGTGTTAGTCTCAAAAGACTACTTATAAGCAAAAAATAAATAATATAAACGATTGCTATGGCGCATACAACTCTGCCTTATCTACAATCTCATCGCAGAATGTGATTTGAGAAAAAGCATGGCCTTTCTTGCTATTCACTACCACAAGCCAGGCTTGAGTTCTGCTGTGGGTGTTGACGAGACAAGTTCATGTGAGAATTGACATTGCAATCGAGTCCGGCCTGGATGAGCATACCTTTTGGGAGGCAAGGCTGTGTGAAAGTGAATAGAAGCTTAAGGTATATTCATATGATTTTGGGGCAAATTCGACTGCCACTTCTTCGTCATCTTAACGAAATGATATGAATACATCCCATACGACTAGAGTGTTAATCACACTTGGGTATGATTAACAGCACCACATATTCTACTCACAGTACCACTAGTTTTGGTAGTGCTGGTGATCAGAAGAAAGTTCAACTAAGAAGTAGGTAGGATGAAGGAGTAAGCGGAGAATATTGCTACATTCATATGAGTAAACAAAGTGAAATTTGTTGAAATCTTGATTAATTTGGATGGGTTGGGAAGATTCAACCATCATTTCTTCCTCCATTGCTCTTCTTCAGAGTGCTCGTGTTCATGTAGGCAAGAGCACAATGATATGAAAAAAAGCAGGGTTTTCAAGACTTTCCATTTCGAGAGAAGCAACCGTGGTACCAACGAAAGCTTGCCACAAGTTGATTGGCCTCGCCGACGACTTCTTCGCACAATCGCCTACGCGGCAATCTCGCTTCGGTTTCCGATGAGGCAGCATCACGAATTTCTTCCGACAAAATTTTCGTTCGAAATGGAAATTCACGTGACAACAAGAAGAGGATGCTCCAAAAGCCCCTCCTTGCCCGGCGTTTTCATTTCAAGGATGGTCTCGCAAATGGCTGAAACGGCATATTTAATGTGCTTTCGCGACGGTCCTCGATCGCGTTCTTTGGGACTTTGCAAAAGTGCCGACGACTTTGATGGTTCCATGTTTAAAGTTGGCGCAACTGCTGCAAAACATGTCAGCAGAGAATTGCATCGGCCGAGGAATGTGTGCTGTCCTTCACGACTCGTCCAACTTGCAAGGCCCAAATTACAGGTTCTTGTCGTCTCGCCGAAGAGTTCAAATCTTGCTTGATACCTTAAAGTGTCGATTCTCTCCCCACCAGACTAAATCACAATATCTTATATGAAACTAGTGTTTCTTAGTGTTTTGATAAACTAATAATTAGGACTAACTTTCGGCTATAGCTTGGGGAGTCGATTCTCTATCAGAGATTGTGTGATTTGTTTTTATTTTTTCCGCTGTTTATGTGATTGTTGTACTATTGGCTGTTTCCTACTACAGTGGCTGAGTGTTTTCTCTGGGTGTGTTTAGTTGCTTGTTTGATGTGATCACAATGTGCGTGTGTGTGTGATTAAAGGAGAAATTTGTAGGCCAATCCCTCTACAGGATGGTACCGAATTATTTTGTCAAGCCCTTGTTTGCAGCTAATGGAAACGTCACGTCAACCTCAACGGTCTCAGACAATCTTGGGCTTTTGTCTCTCCGGTATGTTGGTACCAATCGTGCAACCATACCAAGCTGACGAGTTAAAAAAATCACTGTGCATGTGTGTGCTGTCCCTAACTAATTGAATATGTCCCTGCCCGAATCGACAATGTGATGAGCATGTGATGCAAATATTTTCTCATAGGTTTTGCAACCAACCTCCTTTTAGGCCACTCTACTTTGATGTTAACTCGGACTGTCGGACGAGGTGTGTTCGCCAAATGAGTAGTATTAATAGTAGTATATGTGGCAGATGAGACAAATAATGCATGTGGAGACTGGAATGTTTTATCCCAAAGCCCGAGTTGAAGTGTGCATGTGTGCAGATTGTATTTCAAGCTGACACACACACACACACACACACATGCACAAACGCAAACAATATGACTGGCTGATGGTGACCATGTGACAAGTGTCTTGACGACCGTGTCTGAATCGCTTGCTACAATCGGCCACAACTCGTCGGACGGAGGCCCGAGGGCCAAACTCGCAGTAGCGACCATCTCGACTTGGTCCGTTGGCAAGGCTGCCTTTGACGTACCAAACGGCCGGCAACTACGCAGGTCCGGCCGACTCTGAGCGAGTCCGGACGAGTGGGAGATGCGCAAATGTGCCAGCCTCGGACCCGACCGGTACCGGACAGGCCGCGGGAGGCCGGAGAGACCGGTCGTCTGGGGCGCAGCTGTTCCGGAGTCGCTGGGCGACGGAGGGACAAACGCGTCTGACGACGCGCTCTGAGACGGCGCCCAGACGCTCGACTCGGTATCCAAGGCAGCCGGAGACCGAGGCCTGCAGACCTCCGGTCACGTGGGTGAGGCGAGAGGACTGGGCGGCCAGAGACGCCGCCTCCTCTTCAGCTGGGCAGACAGGACGCCCGGCACGTGTGTGTGTAATGCGATGGCACACCTCGCCTGCCTCTCGTTCACACGCCTCCATCGCCTCCACCTTGACACACGCAACACATTCACACGTTGCACTCACACTCACACACACATGCATATATATATATATATATATA